ATTTCTAGCTATAAAATATATAATAATATATACAATGTTATATTATTATTATTAACTTAATTATATATATATAATCAAACACACCAAAAATAAAGCAAAAAAAAGCACTTAAAACACATGATGTAATGCAAGAGATGCTTTCATAGCAAGAGCAAGAGATGCTTTCATAGCAAGAGCAAGAGATGCTTTCATAGCAAGAGCAAGAGATGACTTCAGTACATAATAGATGGCATTTACACAGCAAGCATAGTTTTTCACTATGCAGTTTGAACATAAAAACATTGAACTCTAGGTTGAATTTCTCTTGAATTTAGCATTTTAACTGTGAAATGTTTGAAGTTAGTCATTCAAAGTATGAGCAGAGGCGGATCTAGGTTTTTCGGGGCCTAGGGCTTATTGAAGTCCAATAGGGTCCCATTTTTTGTTAGATTCAGAATATTTAATTTGGGGTTTAAAATTCATTTTTAATAACATCAATATCAGAGTTGAAATATATTTATTTATGAAATGGTGTTGAATGACGATAAACGCTCATTGTTAATGAAAAAATATTAAAAATTTATGATGATAATTCAATTTTTGTGAGCCCTTGACACTTGGGGGCCCAGGGCTTAAGTCCTATTAGTCCCTAGGTAGATCTGCCCCTGAGTATGAGGTATCACTGTATTACTTTTTATAAGATTTGACAATTATACTCATAATGGATTCAGTCCTGAAATTTACCTAAAAGTGCATATGAACAAAAATTAATATTGAGATGCTAATCTAAATCAGACTAATTATTCTCTAATCTCATTTAAATATTCATAATTCACCTGAAGTCATGTAGTATAATACAGTCACCAGCAATTGTATTGTAAAAATTATTGTCATTATTTGTAATGAAGGAGAATGGAGCAAACATTAAATTTTTTAAGTTGGATAAGTTAGTAAGTAAGCTAACAACTGTATTTTAATAAGAATGAATTTTGTGAATTCATATAATAGGTTACAGTAATAAGTAGTATATATCATTTATGTTTTGAATAATTTATAACATTTCTGGATAGATATTTGGAATTTAAAAATGACAAATTCTATGGATGATCACAAACAGTTTAAACTCTAGAAATGATTATAACAAATTTATGAATTGAATAAATTTGGATAATTAAAAGAAAGAAAGAAAATAAGTTCAATAAATAAGTTCTTGTATTTGGAAAAATTACTTATTCCTACTTTCAATTTGTGGTCTAACTTTGCAGTGATAATTAAGAAATTTTTTGGTAAAGCCTAGATTAAGGAAGTATAAACCATCTGTTTTGCTTTCTTGATTTATCTGCTTGAGATATTTGCTATTTTGAAAGTTGATGCTGAAGTTAAGACAATTTGAAGATATATAAAATATTGAAATGACATGGCAAAGTAATTGGCAATAATAAATTTTGCCAATTAATGGTAAATAAGTGTAGAATTGTATAATTTCTCAAGATAAATAATTTCAAGAAATTATACAATTCTACACTTGAACAGTATTAAATAGTTTTTCATTCTTTCATATGGTTTTCTTTAAATTCACATCATCAAGGAACTTAACTGCTAAATCTTATATAAAAATTTTATTATTTAGTAAAAAATTATTTTAATAGTTACAATAATGTAAGAAGTGATTAGATTGTATGCTTAATATCAAATTATTGGAACTATAATTTATTTTATAAATTTTTCAGGAAAGAATACAATCTATACATAAAGCTGTTGTAAGAGGTAATTTAAGAGATGTTAAATCTCTTTTAGATCGGAAAAATTTAGCTATAACAAGGGACCCAACAGGAGCTACACCATTGCATAAAGCTATAATATATGGTCATCATGAAATTGCCAAATATATTGCTCAAAACTTTCCATCATCAAGAGATGCAGTAGATGGAGTAAGCAATAATTTATTTTCTAAATTATAATTTTAACATTATTAATTTAGCTTATACTATATTATATTTACTTATTTACTAGATATAGTAATTTGTCTTTAATTGCTAGAATTTTGTTATTAAAATTATTCATTAGGCTATTGAAAACCTATAAATTCCCACTGTTATCTGTCTCTGTCTGTCCTTCCTTAATCTCGAGAATGGAGTTAGACAGATGAAAGCCAAGATTAGTTATGGAAAGATTAGGGACAAGAGGTCCTGATTAACTATATATGAATTTCCGATGCAAACCAGAAGTCATATTATTTCAATTCAAATATTTTCTCCTGAAAGGAGTTAGATAGATGATCAGCATAACTCTACTGCTAACAGGAAAAGTATGATGCACAGGGGCAAGATGCTACTAATTTTATGTGGAGAGCATATATTCTAAATTAAATAAATTAAAAACATATGATTAAAAATTGCAGCCCAGCATTGTGACAATATCACAATAAATAATTGCTTACTGATATTAATTGCATTTTATATAGTTAAAAGGAAAGTAATAAAAAATCTACATTAATTTCTGCATTCTAAATTATTTATCTCAAAATATTTTGTTAATAGTTTCTGAAAGATTGATTTAAATGATAAAAATCTAATGTCATTACTGTTTTAAGAGAATTAAACATTATAATAAAACTGAAAGCACAGTTATTTTCAAATCTGAAACAGCAGTAGTATTTTTAGTAATAAGTGCTGCTGTTATAGAATTTTTTGAAAAGTTTACTATGAGTTAATAAAATTTTCAAATTGTCTGAAAAAAGTAATTTCATAAATAAATTCACTTGTTTTAATATCTATAAATATCACAAAGAAAGATTGTTGTGATTCTTTAGATTTTTGTAAACCATAAAGTTTTAGCAAACAAATACTTTATGATAAACTAAAAATTATTCAAAAAGAAATAATTTTAACATTTTATAATAGAAAAAAATGTTGCAATTGCAAGGGCAAATTGTGGAATGTATGTACAAATATATATACAGGTATGCAGTGTATCAAATGTCCTTTGTGACTGGTTGTGAAAACAAAAGAAATGCAAACAGTTTTATTTTGAAATGATTGTTGATTCCTTCTGATTCAATACACTTCTGGAAACAATTATAAAAATTTTCAATTACTTGTAACTGATTTCAGAATTGATTTTAGGATATCAATTGATGCTTTTTGAATGCAAAGAATTAAGTTATAGTAATGATCTTTGATGTATATTTTAAGTTTGGAGAAGTTACCATCTACCTTAGTTGTTAGCACCAAGCAACTACTGTTGCTTGGTGCTAACAACTAAGGTAGATGGTAAAATTGGATAACACTGTTTCAGTCGAAAGTCTTGTATGAGCTTGTTCTGTGTGCTGGAACATTATCATGTAACAGTGACTAACTGCCTTAGTATTGTGGCTAAACCTGATGAATCCTGGCCAGTAAATGAATTAATATGCCAAAATAAAATTAGATATTGATTGTCTGACTCTCATGAAAGAATTCCTTGTGGATAATCTGGGCAGAATTGAAGAAAACAACGAGTATTATTTTGATATAACTCTTCTGCATTCATACATTTTCTTTGTTTTGGCAATCTAGGATTCTTCCATTTGGAATTCTGGTGCTTCATGAGAGAATAATTTTTAAGATGTAATGTTTTGTTGTGTAACTACAGTTTTCAAAAGTCTGCATCAATATTGGATGCTCTGATCATAATAGTTGGTCATTGTTTTTTTTTTCTTTTGCTAGTCTAAAGACATGTACAGTACACTACAAAGCATGAGCAGATCTTTTTTATACTCAAATATGTAATTAAAATCTCATAAACAATGATTTTCAGGATGCCAGTGAGCTCCTTCATGATTTTTACACACGCACACACACATGCACATACTGGTCAGCATAAGTTAAATTATTTTTGCTGATCATTACAATTTCATGCACTTTTTGATATTTTCTATTCTGAGTTGTTTTTGGCTGAATCAACTATGGATTGTCACCCAATTTTTCTCTGCCTTCACAAAAACATTTAAACAACTAGAATATATTTGTTTGATCAATATTGTCATTACTATACAGAGTTATTCATAAAGTAACTGCTACAATATAGCATGTAATCATCTATACACAAACTTGTATAGCAGCAAAAAAAGATTTACAAGGTCTGTTCAAAAAGTATCGGACCTTTTTTTTTCCACGTAAACCAATGATGCATGAGAGGCCTCCTTCGGTGGAGTTGTGGAGGGGACAGTCATGCACAGCCCTGAAATTTTTCCCGCCTGCAGGAAGCATCAGTCGTTGGCAATTGGCCTATGAGTGAGGTCATGTGCGCTCTCGTCGGATTCCACTAAGCTGGAAAATGACTGAACAACGTGAGCAGCGATATTACATCAAATTTTGCCAAAAACCTTGGCGATACCTGAGTGTAAACCATTCGCAAGATTCAGCAGGCTTTCAGGGACGATCCTCGAGGCCAAAAAAAGCGCGGCAGGTCCGCAGCAATATCAAAGGTCATGCTGACAGTTTTTTCGACTCTCGTGGGGTGGTGTGTCATGAGTACGCACCACAAGGCCAAACCATCGCAAAGGAGTACTACCAGGAGGTCCTTCGTCATCTTTCCGATACAGTGCGATTCAAACAACTGGATCTGTGGTCGATCAAAACTTGGCAGCTCCATCGTGATAACGCATCCGCCCATTCTGCGCATCTGATTCGGGCTTTCGTCGCCAAACACAATACTCCTGTGGTTCGTCACGCTCCGTACTCTCTCCACATGGTTCCGTGTGACCTTTGGCTATTTCTCAAGCTGAAAATGCCGCTAAAAGGAACCTGAATTTAGTCGAGAGAAGACATCGTGCGGAATGCGACGGACCGGCTGATGGCCATTCCAAAAGATGCGTTCCAGCAGTGTTTCCAGCAATGGCAGGAACGCTGGGAGAAGTGTATACATCACCAAGGAGACTACTTTGAAGGGGATTAGGGTTTTGTACCTCAAAGTCAATAAATTTATTTTTGC